ACACACACACACACACGCACACACACACTCTCTCACACACACACACATAAATACGCACACACATTTTATGTCTATCTATCTATCTATCTATATACGTGTATATTATAATATCACATATAATATTCTGTGCCTTTATAAACTCATACAATACGTATGAATATATCGTATAATCTTTCTGTAGACACCAGCAGGCACACTTACATACACACAAAAGAACCCCGTTTAACATTTTAAGAACGGCAAAAACACACCTATGAACATGATTATGCACTCACATGCATACACAAGTAAACAAACAAACACACAAAAAAGAATAACGATGTCAACACACAGAAGCGCTTACCATTTCAGAGCTTTCTGCTGCCGCCCAAATGCAGGAATAATAGATGTCTTCATCTTCTTCATCCCTTGCTGCTCCGCTCTCTCCATCTTCCATTTTATTTTTATTTTTATCCTCTGTCTCTTGTCCTGCCTCGTCTTCCTCCTCAGTGGGCGATGTGTGGGTGTCCTGCAACCTCCTCGCTTCAGATAGTCTATCGGCCTTTGACATGGGCGTTTGAGGCGAGTAGCTGAAAAAGAATATTATCATAATATTATGTGTCACAGTAATATGGAATTAGGCGCTCGTCAAAATAATGAAATCGAAGAAACAGACATTTCTTTTTCCTGATTTTCTGTTAGTTTTTAGTGGCTTTTGTTTTTGGATGAATACCTGTTACGTTCATGTCAAAACACATTCCTGAGTGGATTGTACAGAAAAAAAGATGATCAAAGGCACAGAAAATGCAAATTTGCAGTTTTCAGGGACTTTCTAGTTTTGTAAGTCACTAAACTTTAGCGACCGTTTACTCGCTAAATTAACCTGTGACACTAAATGATCCCGACCTACAATAACAAATATCTCGACTTCTATTCAAGATAAACGGGTGTTGTACGAATAACTCCGTTTGCTCCTAAATGGATCGGCGCCTGATTCCACAGCGTCGGAAGACATATTGATATATTATTATAAATTAATAATATTATTATTACAAATTGTACACTTTTTATAATAATTTATAAATCATTATGTGGACGCTGTATTAGCTCAATTGGTATCGTGCTTGACTATGCATGGAGCGAATGGCCATGGTTTGAATCCAAGACTCGGGTCGTTTTGAGCAATTTGAACGGCCACAACCCATCGGAGACAGACGTTAGATTCGGAGGCTTCACTTCTTAAATAACCTTAAAGTGTTGATAGGAGT